AAGACTTGTCTAGGAGGATAGCAGCACTGACTCGATACATCGGTAGACCACAGTGACTCATTGTATAGGCCAGATATGCATTCAATCACCTCAAAACGATGCTTAATGAAGTCGAATGCATGGCGCATCCCTCAGGCATTGATTAACGCCGAAAGCTTTAACCTTTATCTTTTTATCAGCGGTCACTCGTCCATTGCACTGATCTGGAGAACACAAATCGGCATTGAACCCCATTAAGCTGAAGCTGTAGGCAATGTGGTCACTTTTTAGTTACTGCCTATTCATTTTTTTAATGAAAAAAGATTATGCAGTATGTAAAAAGTGATTACTTATCAAGCAGTTTCAATCACTTCTCTATTGCTAAAGATCACTTTGCGGTTATAATAAGCACAGATTAGAGATTAGGTTTTAATGTTAAAAGTGTGTCAATACGACGAAAATAACATACCTGTCAGTTATAGCCGCATTCAGATAAGCACCAATAAGTAATGTTCTAGCGAAACCAACATTGCCCAAAGAATATTGTTCGAAATGAATTAGTAAGTCTTCGAAACTAAAAAAGTGTTTGGAAAGTATTAAGAAGGAAAGATTACATAAAACTGAAAGAACTGGAGTAAAAAAATTACAATGGCATGAATGCATCCAATCCCGCAATGCGGCTTCCCATTCGTAAACACAACCTGCCGTCTACAGCAGCCTAAAAGATCAGATATACTGGAAGAATCGAGAAATCGTTGAATGATTTGCTGAAATTATGCAAGACAATATGAGAAATTACCTTAAGAATATACTCAGTAAGAATACGAGAGTAGCACGACGCGATTATGTCGTCAGCTAAGATATTCGGACCTTAAATGGCGATATCAAAGGAAACTATCTCCCATATACATGTCTTTGAATCAAGTTTTTCGGAAGGCTGCATAGGTCGTTGTAAAAGTGGGAAAAATAAAGTGTAACCACAATGATGCAGAGATATTGCAAAACTCCGGACCGTAGGTGTTTGCGGTGAGGATCAAGCACGCTATTACCCTTTCCGGGGGCTAACGCGTTCGCCATCACACGTTTACACACACAAAGAAAATGTAGTTGTTGCAGCCAAGACTCACCGATAATCAATACTTCCCCTAGTCGAACGTAAATATCGTTTGTATTAGCAAACGAAAACACCGTAGGCCTTTCATCATGCAGTAATACGGTCCACAGTAAAGCAAGACGAACTATTTCAACATCATCTTCACAAATCTCACTAGAGCAGAGTAATACTAATAGATAATTGACTGGATCTGAAGAAAAAGAAAACATAAAAACCACACATTTAAGGATAACCTACGTATTTCCCAATGCTTCCCTTTTATGAACAGCATCCAGTACTCGACGAACAGGAACCAACATCCAAGAGCCATCCACCACAGGGTTTAACCCATTAGCAAATTGAAAATATGTCCTCTCTCCATATTCTCTTTAAAATACTCGTAGTTCCGCGCAATAAATGAACATTATTGAATTATGGGTGAACACTTACATTTCCTCTAAGTAAAGCTTCTTAATATCATCTATACGAGAACGGGCCTGTTGGAGAAGCTCGTCTGTGCAACTGAATTACGATAAATTATTCCGATTTTCGCATAAAAAGCAACAATTTATAAAATGTACTCACAATCTAAACATTATGAAAAAGGTTAACGCGATCTAAAACAGCAGAAGAAAGTGTACATAAGGTATTACGTCACACGGAAAACAGAAACAATTTCGTACTTCCAAATTTCGACGATTAGATTTCAAAAGAAAGAGAATAACATTCTTTCGATAGTACCATCCTAGACTATTCAGCTAACACAAGGCTGNTGGTGAACGCGTTACTCCCCGGAAAGGATAATAGCGCGTTCGTTCCCCACCATAGACACCTGCGGTCCAGAGTTTTGCAAATATCTCAGCAACGTTGTGGTTGTATTATGAAAAGGGTTAACGCGATCTAAAACAGCAGAAGAAAGTGTACATAAGGTATTACGTCACACGGAAAACAGAAACGATTTCGTACTTCCAAATTTCGACGATTAGATTTCAAAAGAAAGAGAATAACATTCTTTCGATAGTACCATCCTAGACTATTCAGCTAACACAAGGCTGTTATAAAAGCCCTGAAAATACTTAATCAACAGTGTTTCAGAATCAACGGTTTACGGCCTCATAGTGGATGGGAGATGCTACTCGGTGTCAGGGTGCGATGTACAGCAGGAGAATTTATCTCTCCAGCAGGGCCTTCTAAGCTGAGGAGTCCGGTGTTCCCGCACTAGCTCTAAGCAATAAACGACGACGGTAATGCAATAATTTAACAAAGATTACGTATAAATCCAATTCCTTCTGCAGTGAACTTTTTGTCAAAACAAGGATATAATTTCTTCGCATTCAACTGATGGCATTATTTAGCACAACTTTTTTGAATTCTGGTGAAATCATCAAAGAATTATTGTAAGGAAATAGACTAACTGCCAACAGGTGCATTAAGTAAGTGACGAGCCGAAAGAACCTAAACTTGTTTCATGACAATATTAGACTGCAAGACACCACAAACAATGTGAACTGTGGAAAGATTGCCAAATATAAAGCAAGCATGCTTCGTAAACCGCTACTCAACCGACATCCCTGAAGCGCCACTGCAAATACTTCCTGGGAAAACCTTTGAAAATAAAGGTGCAGGTAAATACAACTATAAAGTATCAGCGGGATTAAGAAGATAAAGGATAAAGCTCTCGATGATCAATACCTGAGGAATTAGCCATGCATTCGAATTCATAAAAGTCATTAGAGGTGTTTG